TTGCAAACTGTTCCAGGGACCTATTTAAGTAGGTTTGGGACTGCAGTTGCCTGGGCTTCACAGAGCATATTATTCTCCCACAGCAACACACTAGATGATGCAGGAGGGGAGGGAGGTTAGGGAAAGAGGACGAGGTATACAGGGACATAAGCTCTGCTCGTGGGAGGTTTAGTGAGAAAGGAGTGAAATCCTGCCTTGTTTGATTTGGAGCCTTAACAGGCTTGCTACTGTTTAAAGTACACAGGAAAGTGGGATTTGTGAAGGGAGGAGAGGGGAGGGGAGGGGAGGGTGATGTCTTTATGAATGGTTCTGAGAATCCCGGAGCAGGTGCCCTGTTCCTGTGTCCTGGGCTGCCGGCCCCGTTGCCCGGGCTGAGACCCACCACTCAGGCATCCCGCAGTCTCTCTCTTCCATTCATAGGACTTGGCCCACACACTCCAATCTGGCCTGTCAGACCGATCCCTTTGTTCCTAACAATGTGGTGGGTAGGGGAGGCTGCTCTGCTGCTGTGGTTGCCTGACAGCGTCTGCTGGGTGAAGGGGGAGGTACCTGGTAGGGAGACAGCAGGGACCACATTCCTGCCTGTCTATAGTGGCAAGCCCGGGCTCAGGGCAAATGAAAGTTGACATGCATCTTAGAGTAGAAACCCATCAACTTGGTGATGGCATCAGTGGTCTCAGCTTTGAGAGCCAGATACAAACTGGGCAACAGCCAATGCACCCTTGAAACACTGCCTCTAACACTGGCAAGCAGGAGCCCCCTTGGCTCCAAGGCACAGGTCCACACAGCCTCCTGAGCCCAGATCCCAGCCGACTCAAGGCGCCCTAAATATATGCATGCACATACTGGTAGGCAGCATTCCCATGCTAAACACTGATGGCTTGCCACCCCCACCTCTAAAGGGAGCAGACTTGATGCTGAAAGCCTGCCAAAGTGTGGCTGGCTTCCAGCACCAAAAATACCTCCTGTGATCCAAGGGGCTACTGTACTGGCATCTATTTGTGGGACTGGAGCTGCTGCTGTGACAGAAAGGACTTCCCCTGGGGATGGGCTACTTGCCCATTTGGGCCTGTGCTCCTTAAAGCCTAAGAACTTGCTTTCCAGGGCCAAGGTCTGCTCCCAGCCTGGGAAATGCAGGTGGGAGCGGCTCAGCCAGACCTGCCTGCCGCAGGAGAAATACTCGTTCCTCACAGGAAACATTTCTGTGCCATTCCAGAATGCTGGTGCCCTGTCCTCTCCCACTTCTCTCATTCTCTTGCTAAGTCACCCATCTAGTGACAAGCAAAGAAGAGGCCCGGGGCCTGGAAGAATAATGCAGCAGTGACAAATGACTTTCCAAACATGAGGTTCCAGGAATATCTTGACTAGGGCAAGTAGGTAGGCTGGGGTGAGCGGAGAACCCTGTTGAGCGTGCTACGATTTTCCAAAGGTGAAGATTTGGCATAAGATAAACATTTCCCCATTCATTTGTTCATTCATTCATTTGATAAATATCTGTTAAATATCTACAAGCCTCCTCACAAATGTTCCGCACTATGTCTATCTCTCCGGTTGGAAATGAGGATGAACTACAAGGCCCTGACAGAGGACTGGTCAGTCCCCAGGGACTGTGGGTCTGACATCAGATGGACAGAATGAGGAAGAATATAGTGAAGGCCAGAAACATACAAGAAAGCTGGGAAACCTCAGAAAGAGACAGACAGAGCTGAGGGTATACAATCTGTAGGGTTTTTGCCATGCTTTCTTTAAAAATATGTGCCAAAGTGGTAATTATGGACTGTATATAGTTTTATTAAAGGAAAAAATTTAGTAAATTTGCTCTTTATAAATATCTGCATAATAAATGAATGACTACCCAGATCAAAAGGATAAGGTTAACAAAAAAATGTAAAGACCAGAGGCACAGGTATACCACTGCTGCCTCAGAGGATGTCAAATCTAAATATGAACCCTGAACCCAAGGTTGTTGTTTTTTTTTAATTCTCAGAGCATGTTATTATAATAAGATGTTTAGCTAATAAGATCCATATTTGTTCTAGCCTATTAGGACTAAATATAACAACAATCTTTCCATTTTGATGATACCGTTAAATCTTTCAATACTCTTACGTTTATCTATTTTAATCTCCCCAGCGGTCTGGAGAGTAAAGACAGAAATTCCCATCTTACAGATGGACAAACCGTGGCCTAGAGAAGTTAGAAGTGCTTCATCCAGGGCACATCCCAGTAGATCAAGTTAGCATTCTTTCCATTGCTATGCTGACCACAGGGTTGTCCATAATCTCACAGGACTCAGATCTTAGACCCTGTTCAGTGGCAGTGTGGAATCTGGATGGCATCCTGCCACCCTGTCAGCGGCAATGTGTTCCCCCACCTGTGTTCTCTCTTTCTCTCCCTTTATTCAGGAAAGAGAGGGGAGGCGTGGGGGTAAAAGATTGGGTGAGTGAAGGAGTCTGTTTCATTTTATGCTTCCTTGCTCTTCATTCTAGGATTTATTTCTGGACCACAGGAGTGGGGGTGGGGGGCAGTATGAGAAAATTATTTAAATTGTATCATAATCTTCCCAAGATGTGATTAAATTGAGGCATGGGGAAGAAAGATGACCTCTTCCGGAGTCAGACAGCACTTGATTTAGAACCAGAAGCCCTAATTTTTAGCTTGGAGCTTTATTAATTATGTGCCTCCAATCCTACCACTCCTGGTCTTAGGTGCAGCTGGCCAGACTCCATGAACAAATGGGGGAAATGTTCCAAAATCTTCTATCATCTTCTTTGAATCATCTTTCTTAATAAATTGTGGTTGAGATTCAGTCTACTTAGAGATAAGAGCATCGACTAGACTATCTGCATGGGGAGACAAGATCTACTTATAAAAAGAAATAAAATAATGATACAGGGTAAATATGATAATGCACTGGTGTTTTACCAACAATAAATGTTAAAGTAGCTTGAAGGAAAGAGCAGGTCTGGATCAGGCAACACAGCTTAGACAGACTCCTTGCAGCTCCACAGGGCAAAACTAGCAGTAACCAGTGAAAGTTACAGGAACACAAATTTCAGCTAATTACAATGAAGAACTTTTGAAGAATTAGCTAATTTCTGCAGATGTTGGAGTACAGCCTAGATCTTCCAGTCCTGTATTGAATGAACGATTGTTCGAGATGACTGGTTAGTCTAGATTTCCTTTCATTTTCTTCTTCCTCTCTGTCTCTCTTTCTTTTCTATGGCTCCCTTTCTTCATCCCTCTCTCCCTTCCTTTCTTCTGCTCCTACTGCTCTGAGAATTTTACGCAATTGTTTTAGGGTTTCTGCAGTGATTTTTGTTGTTGTTTTTTCGATTTACACCACTGAAGAGTGTGGCCACCAGAGGGCAGTAGAGGAAGTTTATCAGAATACTTGGACATGAGTAAACTCGTGCGTGCTCTAAGAGCGAGCAGGGACTACACAAGATCCTGTGAACTCGCTGGGGGCCAGCTTCCAGGGAGCAGTGTCTAGAGGCTGCGGAGATACTGAGACTGTATGGTGCTTAAGGGCACCGAGGCATTGTCATCCAGAGTCCTGAAACCTCTCACCTTAGGTTATTAAAATAAGTTACCTTATCACCACCCCTCTGATTCCCCTGCCAAGCAGACTATCTGCATTGGATATAGAAAGCTCTTCTTCCGTCCCCAATGCCCCCATGCCAGTCAGGATTCACCAGACGCCCAGGATCTCTATCAGGGCTGGAAGCTTGAGATTCAATTCAGAGCAAGGCTCCTTTTCTCATTGCAAAAATATTAACAACAACTTCAAGCCTTATTTGACAGCTTGTTGGCCTTTTTTTTCCCTTTAATTCACAAGAAGAGGAAATTTGCTCCCACAAATTCCAAGACTCCAGTCTCAACCCCAGCAAACAAGCCGGGTTCCTCCCCACACGCCCTCACTCAAATTAAAGAGGAAGGAGGTGTGCAGGATGTGCGCGGTGACAGGTGATGCGAATTGCGGGGAGTCCCTGTCCCTGCTGCCCTCACCCACCAGCCTGTGTCCTGAGCTCCCCCCAGACCCCAACCCTCGACCTTCTACCCCCACTGGGGGCTAAGCCAGCTGAGCTCGCAAGGCCAGGATTCGAATCCCCGGGCCCTGGCAGCATTTTCCTCGCCCCCTTGGCTACTTAAGGTGGCCGCTTGGTCCGGTGCTGAGCTGGGCGCAGGACAGGCAGCGGAGCGGCCTCCGGATGCCAAACCTGCTTCTCCTTTGTTGACAGCTTGCAGAAGAGGAAGTCCGTGCGGGTGGGGGAGGGGGCAGGGGGCTGGCGGTGGCGGGCGGTGCCAGCGGCGGGCGCGGCCCCCGCCCGGGCAGACGCGGCCGGCGGGGAGGGGGTTAACGCACGGCCTCTATGATAATGAGCTGCATGGTAAAATAGGGAGGCCGGCGCTTAGCCGCCACCGCCACCGCGGGAGCCAGAGCTGCCGGGCGGAGCGGCGTCCGCGCCAGACTGGAGCGGGAGGGCGGCGGAGCGCAGTTGCTGGGAATTTTTCAGCCGAGAGGGCGAGCGATCAGGAGAGAGACCCCGCGAGCTTGGGAGCGGTAGGGAGCGCGAGAGCCGGAGCCAGCGGAGCAAACCTCGAAATAGATCTGGAGAGCCGGGCTCCGGGAGGAAATGGGACTGTGAACGAACCCGGGAGCAAGAAGGGAAGGAAGCGCCGGGATTGCTGATGTCAGAGGAGCCCGGAAAGTCGCGCTGGGAAAATCTGAAGACAGCCGGGGCTCTGCCTCTTCCCCACGAGAGACGCCGCCGGCCACCCCCACACGCCCCCTCGGCGCCTCCGGGTGCCCCCCGCGAGCGGGCGACAGCGCCCAGCCCGGCTGCTGCGGGGCGACGGAGCATTGAGGGGCGCGCGGAGCGGAGACCGAGGGGCGACTTCAGGAATACAGATAAGTGGCTGGTGGCTTGACGTGGATTTTAATGAATTTGGACTCCATGTGGATTTGGTCGTCTCGGTGATTCCGAGCTGAGAGCAGGGAGAGGGGCCTCGCGCCGCCCTCAGCAGCCGGCGGCCGAGGCGGACGGAGCGGGGACGGAAGGACAGACCGACGCTGCCGAGCTGGGTAAGCGGCCGGGCCGGGCGCTCGGAGTCGGCGGCGCCCTCCGCCCTCACCCCACGCGCGCGCACACCCGCGGCGGCTTCTCCCGCGCCCACCTCTTTGGGGTCCCGGCCCCAGGCACCCGGGCTCTGCCGCGGCGGGCGAGTCCCCGCGCGGGCTCGGCCACTTTGGCGGGCCGGAGCGCGGCGTGCGCGCGATAGCAGGCTCACTGGAGTCGCTGCCTCCCGCCCCGGGCTTCTCGGCCGGCCGCCGGCTTCCCAGCCCGGGCTGCGGGAGGCAGCAGCGCTCCGCCGCGCGCCTCCACCGCGCACCTGCCGGCGCTCTGCGGCTGTGGGGAGCTCCGGGCGGCAAGGCTGTCCCGAGAGCTGGAGCCCAAAGTGGGCCTCGGTGGCACGAGCGAGACAACCCAAAGCCACTGTGGCCAGAGATCGATCTGGGGGCGTTCGCTCCAGCTCTGGAGACCCTGGTGGCCGCCGGCTGTCCCTTCCGATGGGGAATGGAGATCAAGGGAAGGGGAAAACATCATTTGAGCGGGTTCCATAAGGCTCAGGGAGAGATTTCCAGGCACGGAATGGATCTAAGCGCTCCATCTTCCGGACTCCCTTCCCCGGGTATCGCCCAGCCGGGGTCCAGCCCCGTAGTTTGAGCACGGCAGGAGTGCTGGGGGTTGAAGTGGGAGTTTTCTTAGGGTCCCAGAGGCTCCTGATGAATCGTTTGAGAATATTTCCTTCCATGTACTCTTCCTTGTCCCACCCCACAAGTGAGGTAGGGATCCTAGAAAATTCTAGCCCTTTTTAGCCATCCCACAGGTAGTCTCTCTAATGCTAATCATGGTCTAGATGGCCAGAACGTCACCAGAAACTGCCATTCTAGGTTCCCGAAAAATGTCCACCTGTTTGGAATGCCCCTAGCCCTTAGTGGGATCTGCCTACTCAAACTCGGCTCTGCTCAGGGGGGAATTAAAATAATGGGGGATTCAAAGTTGGATAAAAGATTTGGGGTTCCAGGTCAGTAACGGTCTAGAAATGAGAGTGCATGAAGTGGGCAGTGGAAGTAGGAACAGGTCTCCTGTAGGAAACTAAGATCCTAGAATGACAGTGACACACCAGTAGAAGGTAGGCAAGGGACATGAAAGCAGGATCAGTTTGAGGGAACTGGGACTGCTAGTCATAGCTTGGGCAGTCACTTGGGGGCCCATCAGCTAGGAGGAACCCACAGAAATTCGGGGGCACATTCATCTCCTTCCATTCACGTGCACAGTGGATAAGGTTTAAGAGCGGCAGGCCAAGATGAGTATCTGGGCTGGCCTGGGCTGGACGTTTTGAGAGCAGGAGTCAGGTTTAGCTCTCCCCTCTCCCCACACAATAGCAGTCTCCCTCCTTTGCTGGGCTTCTTTCCCACCCCTTGAAACTTCACTCTTCCCTCTGGGTTGGCTTTGGATTCTGGGGCCTTCTATTGAGTGACAGAGTCCCAGGAAGAGATAACCTTGGCTGGAGGAATTCAGCTATTCCTAACTGAAATGCATGACTTTTGTGCAGTCACCCCAGAAAGCTCCTAGAGTTGCTTGCAGCCCTCTCCCCTCTGACCTCCAGGCAAGAAGAGAGAAGAATTCATTAACTTCCCTCTCTCTTCACAGAGCACCATTTGAACTAATTACCTGTGATCTCTCTTCGGTGGTGGCCTGGGGGGCTGAAGGGGTAGTGAGGAGAGAGGGTAGGGAACCGAGGAAACAGAGTGGAATCTGTCAAGATACCCTGTCGAGGTTGTTTTTCTTTCCCCTTCTTCCACCTGGCATCACCACCATCCCCTCCTCATTCCGGAACTTGCCCCTGCTGCCACCAGCCAGTGTTACCTAAAGGAGCGATTTCCCTCCACTCTGCAGCTGATCCTGTTCAGGGACCCGCTGATAAAGGGAGGGCAATGCAGACTGCCCTCTCTGCTCCCTCACTGTCCTCAGCAAATTACATTAGGATGGGGCAAATTGGCTTGCAAAGCAGTTAAATGGAAATGACATTTGGAGCGATGTGCAGGGAAGACGCCGAGGAGCAACAGTGGTGAAGTACCAGGAGATCTCCTTTACCCAGGGACCATGAGTCTGGCAAGGAAATCCCAGCTGGTCCTTCTCCTTGGCAGGGCAAAAGGACAAGGGTCCCTGGAAGCCTGGAGCAGGACAGAGGAGCTGGCTACCTTTTCAGTCCGTGTCTAAATGAAGGGTATGGTGGTGTCTTACATCCATCACCCAAAAGTATGTCATTACAAGATTGGTGGCCCCCCCTTTCAGAGCTGCTCTGAATACCTACCCCTGTCTCCAGAGCACCAGAAAGCATTCGCCCTGCAACTCTCTTGACCATCAAAAGCTGCAGATGCAATGAATGTAAAAGTTCATTCACCATCTGTTTCACTGAAGTCTACACTTAAAATGAGGTTCAAAAAAGAAAACCCTCAAAGAACAACTACTTGTTTCCTAGGTCCAGTTCTCATTTACAAATACTTCTGATTATTCAGCTAATCTTTATTTCATGGGCAGGTTACAAGAAAACACAGGAGCAGGCGGGGAAACCAGTGACATGGTTAAATCTACAAGGCAGCAGCTGACAGCAACCTAAACTCACCACTTTAGGTGCTATGAAATATTTATGGTGCTGGAGTTGTCAGATTGGGGGTTTTATAGTTTCTATCCTACCTCATTTTCTGTGATTATCTCCCCAAGATATAGAGTTTGGTGTGAGGGAGGCATTCCTGTCTCCAGCAGCACCCCCCCCCCACCAGCTGTCTCCCTGCATTGCCACACAGCTGTCTCTGCACACACGAACTGAGGCACAATATACTTCTGTCCATCATGGCAAATGGAGAGGCAAGTAGCGCCTAGCCAGGCCCCCGCCCCCACCCCCACCCCCATTCTGATCATAAAGAGACTGGAGCATTGTGTTACAGTCTGTTAACTAGAAATAATTCAGGACCGTCCATAGGGAAACTGGTAGAAACAGGCTTTGAGGTGCTGGGAGTTTTACAGCTCATGTTCATTCTGCCCTTACCCCCACCCCCATCATCACCACCCCGTCCAGGGGCAGTCTGTTATCAATTCATTATATGTGAACGTTCTATTTCTACCCTTCACATATGCTCAGTTCAAACAATGATGAATGGAACCGGTTCCCTTAACAGTTTTTTTTCACTTAGTTACAAAGATTTCATGCCTGATTAGAGTAAATGAGGGGTGGGTGTGCATCCACTTCTTTTTTGGTCATTTCTAAAGGTGAGCCCTGTGGAGACAGAGAGAAAGGCAGTTCTTCCCAGGGTCAAACAGCTGGTCCCAAGGAGCGAGGGAGGGATGGCTGGTAAGAAGAGGACACCCCTGTCCTCCTGGGCTTAGCCCTCAGGCTCTCCTGGGCCTCATTCCCTGACATTCGCGCATATGGAACCTCTTTATCTAGTTCCACACTGCTCCATCTGGAATTGGAGGGTAGAAACAGAGGTGAGAAAGTTCTTTGTTGGGGAGCAGGGTTCCTACCGGGTAGGTGTGTAAGTGGGGAGGAGGAAAGAAGGGCACAGAACTGAAATAAATGGCTGAGGTCTGAGCAATGCAAAAGTTCTCTGCTCCTACAGTTGGTTAACCATTAACCGCCTTCCCTGCCCTGGTTCTGTCTCCCTCTTGGGTGAAAGAATATCTCTGGGAAACCCAGAGGACCAGCAGGTGTTCCCCCATGTCCACCTCCCCTCCCCAACTTAACATTCGCTCTCTCTCCCCTGTCTGCCACAGCCCTAGGCTCAGCCCGACCCCCACTCACCCCTTCCTCTCCTTCCCTTGCCCCAGCATACATTTCCCACCCCCTGCCAGTTGTCCCTTTACCCACGCAGTTGTTTGCAGGGCAGGGTGTGTGTCAGAGGCTGGGACACAGTAAGGGAGGTGGGGAGAAACGATTGAGGGGAGCGACTGGCTTCACACAGGACTCCGTGGCGGGAGCTCTGAGCTCAGGTTATACACAGCTCTATAACCACTAGGATTTTCCTAGTGCTTCTCACTGTGGATCTGGCTTGTGGGTTCCTGTTTGGGCCCTTTGAGGTTAGGCCATGTGGTCCAAGGCCTTACCAAGGTATTCCTAGCAAGTGAGACCTGGCATCCTGAACGTCAGAGAAAACCAGCAGGTGGACGGAAGATGTAGATCGATGCAGGAGCAAAGGCACACGTGGAGAGACAGAAGTCAAGATGTGGGCACAGGCGCGCATAAATGGAGAAAGGCGGGGAGACAGCAAGGGAAGATAGAGACAGAGAGACTGACAGTGTGAATGGGGGCAGACAGAGCTTTGCTCCAACACAAAGAGAAAGTGGGAAAGAGCCCTGCAGGCAGAAGGGGGTTTTCTGAGTCTTCAATGGCCTGGGAGGCTCAGGCTGAACTGGGAAGCCGAAGTAGCAGGTTATCTCCACTAGAGGGGACTCTTGAAAGCCAGGCTTGGCCCAAAACAGTGGCTTTTGTGCTTTTTTTCTTTGGAGAGAAAAAAAATATTAATAGATGAGATATATTTGAAACTCCCAGCTGTCACCTCCCAGAGACCACAACTGGTAGAGTCCTATTGCCAGTGGGACCTCTGGGGCTCTGTCTGGTTGCAGAGGATGAGAAGGCGCCTGCAGTATTAAGCAGGGGTACATGGGTTTGTGAGCAGCTCTGGAGAGGCCTGCCCCAGCAGGTCACATCCAGGGGTGGGTGGCAGGCAGGGAGTGCATTCCCAACTTAGCAGGCAGTCCAGTCTGCTGACTGGCCCGCCAAAAGGCCCTTGCCATTCTTATCAGCAACAGAAGTTTCTGGCCCATCCCCAAGGCACCTTCACATGGCTTCCCATTTCCCAACTCCCTAAATGCAGATTTTTGAGTCTCAGGTGGTTGCAAAACTGCTCCCCGGGAGACATTTTTTAAAAGACCTTTCAGGAACTGAATGCATGTCAACGTTGTATCGCTGATTTAATCTTTTTCTTCATATTCTCTGTGGGAGTCTTTCTCTGAATTA